CGAACTGCCTGCTAACCTCGTCCAGGTCATTTCTCAAGCGCTTAGCACAAAAAATAGCAGTCTGAATGTGCGTTGTTCACAACGCAGAGGAAAATACCTGTATATTATCGGTGGAATCGATCACCGCCCTCCTGAGTCGAGGTCAAGCCGCAGGTGACGAAGATGGGGAATGTAGCCGTGGGTTTCTAGCGTGGTTGGGAAACTTTGCATGACCATCATCGTGATTCGGAAGTTGGCTTTCGGCGTTGTACAAGTCGAGGTTCTCAAGCAATGACGAAAATACCTGAAAGTTCCGGAAAATCTCAGGAAAAGTTTCCTTCGGTTCGCTTATACACAAAGCAGTTATTCCTCGCCTCTCGGCGAGTTAAAATGAAACTCTGACCGAGAGATTAAAAGAAGATTTCGCTAGAATAGCATAATATTCTAAAGAGTCTCTTCTAGCTCTTCGACGGATCTCGACCGAAGCAACTTGCGCAAATTTAGATCGATGTCATGTTACTCACATATTACAGCGGAGTTTTTAAAATATTCCGATTTTCGTGGAAAAATAGTACACTTTCGTCGCGGGTACATTTTTCTTCAGAGACGTTGTAAGCATTCCAAAGAATTCGAGAAGGCATGTAAGCATGAATTTAAGGGACGATTTACCCACTAAAACCCACTAAAGCCACTTACTGAGCTGAATATTGTACTGTAGTTTCAACCGAAGTTCGTAAGTAAGCTCTTGGTATTTCCGGAGACACTGACGATTTGAAAATTCTGATGCGAAGAATGGATTCGAGTATGTGCATGTTTTTCCGGCTCAGAATTTTTTTTATCGGTTGTGCTGTATGCCTCGACAGAAAACAAATGGAACAGGAATACTTCTTCGAGTATTCCTGAAGGAATACTTTTTTGAAAACCACGTGAAATTTCGTGTGGAATGCAGAACACATTTGAAAGAATATGTTCAACTTGCATGTTGCGTGTTAGGAACGGATAATCTCACGGGTGATTTACGTGGCCTTGAATCGATCATGCAACCGAAAGAACAAACAAAAGCAGGTGCATTATACCACCTTGAGGAAAGTGCGCCCGGTGTGCTTGCACAGTAATTGAGATACACTGTATCCCCATGATTCGGCCAAAACCCCAGATCAACCAAAATGTAAAAAAAAATGCAACCTTTAAGTCTGTTTTCAGCAAATCATATTACAGGCGAATCTCGATAACTTGAACCTCCCCAATTCGAATACCCCCCAAGTCGATTTTTTTTTCAGCTCCTGTCTGAATCCCTTTAGAATTGATGTTTGAAACTTTCCTAAGTCGAAGGCTTTTCCCCTCAAACCTCCACAAGTGGAATTTTCTGTGGCCTGTTGCCTTTTATTTTCTCAAAACAAGAACGAAAAAAGCAATAAAAACATGAATTGATTTGTTTTAAAAGGAGGTGAGAGACTTAATCGGGCAAATGAACCCTGCCTTCAAGTTCATGATGCTTTCAACTCATTTAAGAAGTAATTTCAACCTTCGAATATTACAATTTACAATTTTGAGCAATTTTTCTGTGTTTCCCAGGAAAAAAGGCTTTGTATTGTAGCTAATTCAAAACCTCCCAAAGTCGAACTTTTTGGCTGGTCCCTTGAAGTTTGACTTGGAGAGGTTCGAATTGTACTTCAATTTTTCATCCTTGACTCAAAAGTGTCTTTCATCTGTCTTTTGATCCCATGGGGTCTTGACCTCCGAACGAGTATGTTTTTTCCATGGTCTGGAATATTCTTTCAGAGGTACAGTGCATTACCAATAGCACAAATGTAGACAAAATTTTCTCAAGATCTTCGATTCGTTTTTGCCCATGCATTTCTCCACTAGAATCATGATGTGGCCCTCATCCGAGTGAATGCAGCCTCAAGTATTGCCGTTTTGACCTCTTATCGCCATATTTTACTTATAGTGGCGAGTTCATGATCCCAGAATTTCATTCATGAAAATATGCCCAAGAATTTCATGATCTCTGAAAATCAATTGGAATTTCATTAAATCTCTCTAACTGTCTGCAACGTTGTTAGTGAACTCGCGGGGTTTATATTTGAATGGCTCTAACTGGTGAGAGGACTGGGATACTGGTGTTACGCTTTTTGGGTAATTTTCCAAAGAAATCATGCACCACCTGAATGCTCACTTAAAACAAAAAAGTACTCAGAACGCTTAATATTCAAACCACGACAAGCACAAATTGAAAATCATGTGCTATGTGACAGACGAGGCTCGTTGTGATTTTGTGAGATACATTTATTCCATCCCTGCATCTATTTTGGTTGTCATTTATAGCATTTATACGATACTCGTACTTCTCGTATTCGTTCGGCGACCTTGACTGTCTTGCATGAAGATGTTTCGCGAGGAACATACCAATGCTGTGAAGATTTCCTGGATTTCAGTCCTCATTGTATTTAATAAAACTCATACAAGGTACAGTATATTGTGACGAAACTTTCCTATTGGTTTGTAACTCTTCTCATCCTCTGTGACGCCACTGGGATTTCCGGTTGTTCGAAGATGTGGTGCTCGAGGAAACAGGAAGAAACACGTACTAGACTGATCGATATTGCCTAGGTTCGGGACATTTTTTTTAATAATCCTACGTACGATCAACTCTAAAGAGCCCTTCCAGAATTTTCCATATTTGGCCTGCTCAGCGCAAGCAGCATTTTAGTTACATTTGGTCGAATGAAGACGCACCTTAACGAAAAAAATGGATCCGCTGAGGGATGGAAAACAAAACAAAATTATTCAGGGTTCAACGAAAAATTAGTTATTTTTGTAAAAAATGGTAGGTCAAAACGTGAAAGGTTTTAAATGGTACCATCCATTCCAAAAAATGTTTCTTTCTCAAATATCTGAGAGCAAAAAATTTTAGGAAATTTTAGAACAACCCATCATGTACCTTCAATCATAATGTGCTTCGGTATGCGGCCCTGAGGAGTGGAAACATTTCTGAACCGAATAGAATCACCCTTGTCCAATTTTCTTCTCTTTTTTTAAAGCTTCCTTTGGAGGACAGAGGAAGCAACTGCATCAGTAGTCATTTTCAGGGTACGCCCAGAATTTCATTCATGAAAAAATACCCAAGAATTCTTCCGCACTCTTCTCCCGGCCCGTGAGTCGAAATCGCGAAAACCCAGCTGGATGTCCAGATGTCTGAAAAAGTCTCTGAAATAGGTTGGAAATCAAAGGTGGAGAACAGAACCCATTCATACTTGAAGATAGTACACTATACTCGTATCTCTGCGAACCTCAAATGTCTCTTTTCTCATGCCTAAAAGGTTCTCGCAAAATCCGTTTACACCTCGCGGCACCTTCTCATGCCCTTATTCATGTGTGCATTATCGATGAAGCACTGCATGTAGAGTGTTATAATCAAATTTCTGCTCCGTATAAAAAACAGGAAATAATCGGCAATGCCAATGTCTGATATTGTATCGGTTATTCTAGAAGATCAAGCTCTCGAAGCCTATATCCTCATCGATGTCATTATCTTTCCAAAACAGAGATGAATATATTACAGTACATTACATGAAGTCAAATGAGCTGACGTCGCGTTATCCGAAAATACGATCGCCGGACAGAAATTGGGCGAAAAGAGTTACCGCCAGCATCGCGAGCTCGTTTGTGAATGCTCATGGAGTTCCGGGCTTTTCGGCTCCAAAATCAAATGGCAAGGACTTTTCCTTAGAACAGCATACTACTTTATTGCTGAACAAACGAGGCCTTTGGGCATTTTAGTGGAACGGCTTATTCCCGGAGGTGCTCGACTCAATGATAGCTATCCGGCCCCAGTAAATTAGGATCGACATCCACGACTGTATCTCTTCGCTAGTTTCTTTCCGTTCTCGTACATTAAGAAGAATTACTCCTCTAGAGTTAGAGAACCCTTGGGGTAATTGCAGGTTTTCGACGAACATTTAGCATGCTGACAGTATCTTATAGCATAGCATCTTATAGTATTATCTCGTCGATTTTTACTTGTTAGCTGTTTGTCTGTCGTCAATCTCCGGAAATTCCGCTTTTCCTGATGTTTTTCTGTCCTAGTTTTAGCGCTGAACAGAAAGCATCGGAAGACTTGGAAATTTGAGAGATTTTCGTTACCTCGAATATTTTTTTCATTTTGCCAAATCTTGCCATCAAGAAATTTCGTCATCAGTTCAAAAATCTTGGCGCGCTTGCAGTTTCCGAATGTTAATCGGACGGAAACTGTGTCATATCTCAAGAACCTGTTACCCAGAGGATGCCTTGTTTTCACTGTCTCCGAGTCTCCCATTCATTATTCAAGTGAATCTTTAACTTCAACGATCGTCCGAGTTTTCTTCTTGCAGTGTAAATAAGAATCGTTGTGATTAGTTGATTCAGTCGAAGGTTGGATTACCAATGAAATGATCATTTATCTCGTTGAGGTGGGCACAAATACCTAATGTTGAAATCGCAGTTTTCTTTTGCCATCGGCGCTGACGAAGACTTGACTTTTTTTAACTAAAAAATGTTTTCCAAAACTCAGAAATAATTTTAAAAACTCGCCAGATGAATATAGCCGAAGTCTAGGAAGGTTCCGATTTTCTCTTTCGCCCGATTTGTTGGGAAAATATTCCCTTTTGTCTTTTTGCCCATGGGACAAACATGGAGGTTTTCAAACACTGTGAAGCTCTGCCCTGCCAAGCATGTCCAGACTTGGGCTACTCAGCTCAGAGTTCCAAAATACCCAGTCTCCAACACATGATGGAAAAGAACCCAACAACGTCCGTGGGTTATTACAGTAAACATTTTTAGAGTGACGGGTTGGTAAACTCAGATCAAATTTCCTGAGATTTAATCAAAACCATCTTTAATCCCAAGTATCAAATCGGTATTTGCCATGAAGCATGTCTCCTGCACACAGTATAGTGAACATTGATAGGAAAACATTCGGGGATTTTCAAGAGAATTCGCTCTGGGAACAGTGCCTTCATAAAGGCTAGAAATGATTTAACATGGAGGAGACAATGCCGGAAAGTCTGAACATCCACCCGCTTCGGGAAATAAAAATCCAGACTGAATTGGACCACGAACTCGCTGTTCTGCGAGGCGCGCAGATCAACGGTTGGCGTATTATTCGTTCTGTCCAGTCATTTGGAAGCTGATTGAGAGTGACAGTAACAGTGGAAAAAACTATCCGCCAATTATCCCCACGATCGGCAGAAGAGTGGAGTGCGACTTCAATTCCCTTGAGCTGATGGCGTATTATTATAGATCATCTGCTGATGCAATGATTACCCCCTGCATTCAAGCTATGCATAAAAAAAAGCATTCAAGCCTCAGAGAAGCCCAATGCTTTTCTGATCAGCTTCACTAAAATGTGCCAGTTCCGCAGGCAGAAATTCAATTTTTGAAATAAATTATTCCACCACAACCTTATTTCAATGCTTTTAAATATTGCTCCTGTCCATTGAACCCAAGACTCATCGTAGTGACTGAATGAATCCCAATCGATGACTTCATGGCCCGCCCGATTTACCGACTGAGAAACATTATGTAATTGAGAACAGTTAAAAAACAGGAAGAGCTTTATTATCGGAAACCAGATAATATATAGAAAGGAAAATCGAAAAGCAGAAAATTCCCAGTGGAAATTTAAATGAGGCATTCGTTAGACTCATGACGAACTATTTCATTTCATGCCAACGTTCCCTCATTTAAAACTCGTATTTTTGTTTAACAATTTTTGCTTGGCTTTGGGAGCATACTGTAGATTGGAACAAACCTTTTCAAGAACATGAATATCATGTATGAACTGGGCAAAGAAAATTGGACCAGCAATCGCGTCTTAGCATGCACCTATAAAACACCTATAAAGAGCACACCCCAAATTCGTTTCTTGGGATCTCTTCCAGCAGATCCTAAAACCCTGCGCGAAAACTGAGGAACCAGCAGTGTCAAAATAAACAAAGATAGAATTGTATTCAAATAAAGAGTCAGTCACGCGTGTTCTTTCTTTTCACAGTGTTTTTCAATTTGTGCTTTTTCTTATGGATACTTTTTCTCTTGATGAGGGCAAAACATGCTTAAAATTTTAGAAAAACCGCGAGCGGCATGGCGAATGCAGCAACAGGAAACGATATTCCGGGTTTCCTACATGGAAGTGCGAAAGCATAATATAGAAAAGACGAGCGGCATTGAGCTGAAGCAATAAATCGGGAAAAAGTTTCATCGAGAAATGGGCATTTTCTTGAGGGATTATGTTTTTCGGTATCTTTGCAGGATCCCTGCTGGACGCTGCGAAGAGACGCTGTTGCCATCTCTGCTTAAGGCCGGCTTGGTGCATTCCGGGGACTACTCTAGGCCTGCTCATTCCGACAACATCATCACTGCTGTGCAGACCCATGACATCTTGATTTACGTCGGGGTGAGGCTCGCGAATCTCTTACAAAAACTTCCTCTGAAATCTTTTTGCGGACATTGAAAGAAACAAGGCGTTCCTCGCATGTCTCGGTCTGGTAAACTTTTTCCTGATCTCTTCCATAAATTTCTTCGGAATGCATTCCGGCGACTTTTTTTTGAAGGATCAGAAAGAGTAATACTTCGGCAAAAAAGCTAAAGCTCTATTGTCAGCCTGCTTGAAAGGGAACTACTGTATATAGAATACCATGCTGAAAACTGTGAACGCAAATCTTGCGGAAAATGTTCTGAAAGTCTTCGGCATGAGTTGTTGAGGACGGATGAAGAGACATTCGGAAGAAGCATACTGGACGAAGTGTACCAAAAACCCTCGTCCAGATAAACTAAAATCACCTTAAAATTGTATTTTAAAAATAGAAGCGAATTGACCTGACCGAAAAGAAGTTCTGCGAATCTTTTAGTCCATAAACCTCGATTAAATTAATGAAGATGAGTAAAATAAATTAAAATTAGCATTACTCTTTACAGTAGTACAGTATTACTCTTTATAACTAAAAATCAAAAGAGTTATCTCAATCGTCTTCGGTCTCTTATCTATTGACATTTGTCCATGGTGAATCGAATACCTGGAGAACCAGAGCCCGGTTAAAACGAGTTGTATTCTGAAGGTGCAAATATTTCAGAATAAAAATTCCCAGATTTAAATCAAGTGCGGCGGATTTGTGATAACAGTTTTTCGATCGAACCGAACTATCTATCCGGCATCATGACGAATCACGCAATGTTATATTATTTTCAGATCATAGTGGTGTTCTATGCGCTTGTCGTCCTGGTCGTCCTCGGTGCGCGGTGCCGCCGCAGCGGACAACCTCGTTTCCTGTCGGATCCGGTCGACGAAGACGATGAAGAGATTGAAGATCCGCGACATCTAGTAGTTTACGATCCAGACCGCGACATCGCGATTCAGGCTTCAAGCCACGATACCACCCACGCCCAGCACTACAGCGGAAAACCTGTCTGAACTCGTGCAGCTTATTGACCCATCTCTGCTGGATTTGTATGCGTCTTGTTCTTGTCTGAACTCAAATGAGAAACTTGCAGTATTCTGGATCCGTTGCCACGCTTGTATAGGCTTCTCGGAAGTTTTTGACGATTGAAATTCGAGCTGACGTGTGCACCCTTAAAACCAAAGAAAACGAAGTTCTCGCAGGTTGACCACGAATCCCGCCCCGGTTGATCCAAGCAGACAAAACTTGGATTCTGCTCTTTACTTTGATTCACGCCACGAGCTGCGCGAGCGGCGGAAAATCTAAAACTTTTTCGAGAGGGTTGTGCTTGCAAGACATACTTAACGTTTGTAGATTACTCATAGTTTTGACATGCGAACTGACACTAGTGCTTCGTGTTTGACTTGAATATGCGTCGCCGTGGCGTTGAATAATTGGTATTATATATGATTGTCATTCTTTTTCTTCAGATGTCACATCCCTACAATCCGGTGAAAATATACGACTTCGGTTTGAAATATTATGTATTTTTCAGTTATAGTCTTGCGGATTTCGCACCGAACTTCGAAAACGTTCGACGGATGGTTCGTGAGATTTCAGACTAAAACGCCCTTGCATTTGTGTCATTAGCTGACATGATCCAATTTGTGTGTTAAAAATATTTATCAATTCATACATGGTTAGAAAAATACTCCAGTTTTGCCCACCTACCGCTTGAAAAATTTTATGATGAAGATCATTTGGCATGTGTCTCTTAATTTCCAACTCCGAAGCTTGTGAAAGAGTTAGTGAACGTTTTGGATTCACCGTGTGAGGGATGACATTTATTGAAATTGACAGTCGGGACGCCACAAAGGTATACTCATTAAAGATGAGTTGATGTGACTATAGACGCTTTTTGAATTAAACGAATCTCTGCTGCAGTATGCGGAATACCGTAGTCACGAAACTAATTCACCATCGATAGCACGATCCCTTTTTTTAATGTAATCGAGATACAACTTATTGAAAATATCGATAAGACGTTCTGACCATGGATAATTGATGGCGTCCATGGGGAAAGTATTTTTACAATTTTCAAGAATGTGTTAGCGAAAGATGGGTTATCACAGTGGTTTTTTTTTTTTTTAAGATTACATATGCAGAACTACTTACTTGCAGTTCCTACATGTTCTTGAACACGACGCGTTCGAGTCATTGTCGAGCTTGGTTTCTGATTCATGCGAACCTCTGATTGCCACACATATAAATTAATTGACGCGCATAAAAATTGTATGATCTTCTGGCAGTCAATGCGGATCACGTGTTTAAATAAAATATTCCAAATACAGTGTCATTCAGAAGGTTTTTCGGAAATAGCTTGAACGATATTGAGAGATTCTTTTTTATACTGAATATCAATCTAAATCGCACATTTATCATTCAGACTTACTTTGAGAGTTATGCATATTCTATGTCACTCTCGCGAGTGTGTGTTTGAAAATTACGTCGAAATTCCTGAGTAAGATTATAGAAACAAGAAATGCATCCCCCTGATCCGGAAATCGAATGGTACTTTCAGGAGCTGTACTACATCCAATACCTAATAGTAATTCATGTAGCTTAGTTCATGAACCCATGCTGGTCTTAAGACATTTTCCCCTGATTTAATAAGAAAAAACTTGACAATAAACTAATTTTGTAAATGTTAACATTTCAAGCAGAAACTCATTAAGCAGAGACCATACCTAGAAATGACATTTCTCCGTCGTTAACTTTCCTTTCAAATACGAGGGAATGGCAATGTGCCAAGAAATGAACTCTTTTTTCGTTATTTCGCTGCATTCTGAGTATTTTTCTTATTTTCTCCTCCTTTTTTCAAACCAGTATTTAAATATGGTGACCACAAAAAATAGAAAGACGACGATATTTCTGAATTTGAATGTTATTGGAATGGTTACGAAACAGTCACATTTTCAAATCCAACCTATACATGTATGTATCCTAATAATTAATTCTTGAACGCTTCAAATATCTGCTTCATAAAATGCGCACCCCAACACAAATCCAAATATCAATTTGAACTCAAAAATCAATGAGCATCGACAACAGATTTGATTTTCCCCTTTTTTTGTGTGATGCGTTTCATTTCTTTCATCAGATGTACACGGTGACAAATCGATTGCTTCTCGATTCCCTGAGATGATCGATTCAATCATTCCCTAATCACCGCGTTGACGAATGTGCCTGCTGTACATGCAAAGTAAATCGACTAATTGGGGTTCTTTGTGCTCGGCACGAACCATGGGAACTAGACCATGTTTCCGGTACGATACAAATGCAGACATCGACCCTTACGGATCGCATTCTCCAATTAAAATATACCTGTACAGTACTTAACTGTTCAAGGGTCAATGAATAGACTTGCTACAATTATTGTGGGCATAAGAATTGCTTTCCGCCTGCTCGATATAATAAAAATGAATCGAACTGAAAACACATACAGTACTGTATTTCTCTGCTGAAAGGAAGATGCTACGGTATGAAGCGCGTGTTATCTGTCCTTCAAGATCTGTTCTGATTTTTGAAATATTCCAAAGTAAATTAGGTGTCGCTCTGTTTCGAGGATAACTGACAAAGTTCCCATAGTTATAACGCCGTTACATCTCCGCATCAAAAGAAATCTCTCAAAAATCATTTAATAGTAAGAAATCGTCTGTTTCGTAATTTTTCAAGAAAATGCAGTTCTGAGTCTTCAAACCAGCGACTTACTCTTTTTGGGGGGTTTTCCATGCCTAATTCACGTCGTTACTGATGTTCCCGTTCATGGGAAAAAAGTATTTCCATCACAGTGTTTTCCTAGATGTCACTCCTCGGTCCCGCCTCAACACGGCATCCCCCCATCGTACTGTATGAATGGAAATTGTTGGAAAGCATCGATCTCAATTCTAGCATCTGAAGTATAATCCATAAAACACACACACACATTCAGCGTTCCACATTTTTAAAGCTTTCAGAGAAATTGGCTGACTGAGCGACATTAATATACTGTACAACGGGAGGATGCATATAGATATAGTTACACGATTTCGAGTCTGATCGTTCAACTTTTTGTAAAATTAAATTGTGTTCACTGCTGCAGATGAAGAAAAATTATTTTTGTACTGCATCTGTAGGAAACAATAGATACGAAGTACAGTATTGTATTCCACAATACTGCGCATGAAAACTGTGAAGGATACGTTGGAACCATGTAAAATGGCTGAAAATCGTCATCGCGTTTTCAATCTTCTTCGAGGTTCGAGTGACCTCAGAAAACTGATTTTATAACGATGGATTTACGACCGACGGTCGAAATCAAAAGCATTCCGCAAATACGCCAATATAAAGACTGACAAACGGACGCATTCATTCTCTTGAAGTCGTCGTCGATCTTGTAGATCTCCAGCACATGAGCGATGTACCCCGTAATAAATGGCTTTGAAAACGTTCCACAGCGACAAGGAAGCAGAAGCAATTGTCTCCAAGTAATTGCTTCCTTCTTTACCATGGAAAAAAATCCGACGACGTCGTGTCAGAGTATTGAACAAACACCCACAGGTATCTGGATATTGACGTTCCAAGTTTATCAGATTTACGGAGGAAGCGCGATAATCCACACCGTCCTGAGGTTGTTCTATATGAAACAGTGGCCGACTCAAAGACAGAGCTGTACTTATACCTCGCACCCAAAAACTTGCTTCTTTTCTTCTTCATTGCGTGGTATTCTTTTAGAATACGATGCTTCGTTGACAACGATATTGCGAAGTTCAGAAGTAGCATGCTGTGAATGGCACTCGCCTGGAACATGTCTTTACTTTCCCGAAATTATTCTCTACCTACATGGATTAAACTTCTCATTTAAGTTTCTGCATATGATGAGACGCCTACCTTCTGAATGTACACAAGAAATCAATTACATGGACTTCCACTAACCGAGCATTCGGTTAATCGTGTTTGAATTAGAAGCCGTTCATATGAAATGAGGTGGCTTCCTTGAGGAAAATACAATCGTAGTAGCTTGATTGTAGAACTGTATATCGACCTGAATTTCACAACAGAAATTCTCGTTTCATTCAGATCGATTACATGATGAGAAGCAGCTGAAAAAACACGATTTTACTTAGTTTTCTGCGTTATGCGATATTCGATCATAGTGTCGAAGGCATCCAACTGCATATGAGCCTTGTAAATGTGTTTCATCGGCGAATTAACGCCGAGTTTTTCGAATTACCGGAGCATTTAATTGGTGCGTTACAAAAAGGATATTCTTTTGGTGTTAAGCCTTGGAGAAGATTTTTCGGGAGCCATTTTTATAAAATTATTTAGGACAACATTAAACGCTGAGAGCAACGCTGACGACACTGTTCTCAGCAGGTGACATGCGTATGTACACACTCGTACGCGGAAAATAGGTTTACATTGTAAACCCTTCCTTCCTCCCCAGAAAACATGAATCACGCGCTTGACTAAGATCTAACGAAGCAAAAAATTGCGTATATCCGTGAAACTGATCCATGTTGGAGGTTCGCGAGTCGAACCTCCCATTGCATGACATCAGCATCTCCCTTGCGTAAAAAAAAAAAAAAGAATATTTTTGGTTGATACAAAAGGCTGCATTGCGATAGCGGATTAGATTCATCAGTATCACCCCTCATAATCAAACTTCGACTCATTCAATGGCATCGAAAATGCGGATATAGCATGCTAGAGAGCAGAAAAACGAGATAAAATCCAACAGTTCAAAATCGCGAAATCCCAGTTTTCTTTTGTTATTTCCGTCAATGTTCTCGTTTTCCGAGGGACTCGAATGAGCAGTGTTTGTTCAAATTCAAAGTCAAGAAAAACCGCGTTTCCCGGATATAGCGACGACTGTATTCGCTGAGTAAAGTGGCCGTTGGCAGAAGTTTTCTTGAAGCGAAACCTATAACCGTACCGCGCGGAAGAATAACACGCCCACGTCTGCTGCAGCGACCCATCACGGGTCCGTCAGGAACACGCGGGAGCTGCCGCAGTCATCAAAAGCCAACGTACTGTAATTCCTCCGGCGTTGATTGAAGCCATCTCACCGGAAGGAAGGGGAAAAAAGGAAAAAGAAAACGGCGGAAATGCGTGGAGGCACGAGGCGAACACTTAACCCGATCCGGTGTCGGCCTGTTTGCCCGGGGATAGCAGCTCTCGGCGGACCGGCGACAGGATGTCCCGCGGGAAATCCGCAGGCAGTGGCGCCTCCAAGGTTTTCGGGGCGAGCTTCAACTGCAGTGGGTCCCGCAAACGCAGCAGTTCTGCTTCCACGGCGCTTCGTTCTTGCTGCAATGTGTTGTACTTCTCCACGTCGAGGCCGTACCGTTTGGCGTACTTGTGGAAGAAGTTGAGGAACTGTCGGTCTCGGGCGTCGGGTAGCAGATACTCCTGCGAATGCAATCTGGAAGCTGCAAATTGCGTCCTAGATAGCGTGTCTATGTCGAATATGAGCACGTTATGTTCTATCTAGTCTCGACACAGCTGTGAGAGTACCAATCTCGTGGCAAAAAAGGCGGGAAGAAGGAATGTTCAAGAGAACAATATTGCGCAATTTTGGCCCGATTGAAATTATTTTCGTTTCAATTTACGTCCTATACTCCTCGAAACATGACTTCGCTGGCTACGTTATGAAACTAGAGGTATTTTCGGCAATTAGCCAAGGAATTGGAGGGCCCAAATATGTATTTGATGTCACGCATATAAAATCGTAATTGAACATGCACATTATATAGTATCCACTGAGAACATGCAAAAAAGTTTCTTCCTTGTCTGTTTGTTCCTTACCTGTAAAAACTGCAACGGCGGAAATAGAGTCCCTCTTACATTCCTATACTCGCATTTCAAAGCAGTTGATGTATATCTCATGAAATACCTGTTTATTATAATCGCCATAGAGAAAAACACTCTTATTTTAGCCTAAATATGCACTAAAACCAAAATACAAAGCCAATTTGAAGAAGCTTTTACTGCAACTGAAAAAAAGATACTATACAACTAAAAGCATGACAAATTATATCATGCGTTTTGATGACAGTAAAAGCCATTGTGAGAATTTTGAACTCCTTCACCTGATTTTATATTCGTATAGGGCATTAGGTACTTCGAATAAAAAAAAATGCAGAGATGTCTTCCGAGAATAAATCAAGACAAACGAGATTGGCTTCACATGGAGCGAAGCGTGCAAAAGCTATACTGTTTCTTGATTCTTCCTCAGTAAAATAAGTGACAGTATGACGAAATATATGCCTCCTATATATACTGTAGTGAGATCAATTTGTGAGTGATTTCAAAAAAGAATAATTCAGCAAGGGATGTGCGAACAAATATCGTGCATTCAGGGGAATAGGCTACTTCAGAATTATAATACATTACTGTACAGTATATTTTTTCTGGTGATCAACGGAAATTACCGTACAGTATTGGAATCGAAATATGATGAAAAAGGTTTACCCCGAATCGCTTCTGCGTTGATTTGAATTCAATAGTTTCTTTCGAACAAAGAAACTTATTCCATTTTTTGAATTGCAGAAATTTATTTTGAAATGGCATATGTCTTGGAGCAGACGCCACAGAAAATGAACACAGCATGTTTCTATTGCACACTTACATCGATTCAATAATGTTGCACGAAATATATACCCAGTGTCACGAAATTACGAAAATACAGTATCGCCGAATTCAGCGCGAATATTTTGCTAATGATTTCGATTGATTCCATGCCACCCGAGATGCATAATATTCGTTCCGGGCAAGTTTCGGTATACCATTGAAGAAAATGAGCGACATGATCACGAACAGAAATCCCTAGATTTCGTATCGCTACTTTCCTCCAAGAATTGTACGGAAGATTGAATCTTTTTGATTTAGAACACATGACGTTGATATAGAGGTATTATTTTCCGGATAAATTGAATTTATAATACAGTACACTAACAAAACTTCAGTCAAGACTCGAAATTCCTCAGGCTTTGTGTAGATTTTTTCACGCATAAAAGTAGCGTACGACGATATTAAAGCATACCCATAAATTGCGATATATCGGGCGATTCTCTTGCTCGCGATTTCTGGTGGTTGAGGTTAAACATTTCGAGCCACACGAGGTGCATCCGTAGACTTCATCCGAAAGGAGAAAATTTCAGGACATGTGCAGTATTTTTCATGCACCGTCTTATGGAGAGAAAGGTTATTCTTTTTGAATAGTTTAAATTAACTTTTAAAATTTTCATTTCATTTGAACATTTTCAATTTGAAGGCCAACTCAGCGTTCGAGTGTTGCCAGTTAGTTTAACGAGGCCTATTTTCTTCGTTAGACGACTTCGGCTCAATTTACTTCTGGACTTCTGGGTACTATATGTCGATTACATACCATAATTACAGGCTCTCCCCAGAACTTGTTCTATATAACTGGATTTTATGGCATTTTTAAATTTCCGGCCAGCATTCGTAAAATGGGGGCAATGACGCTCGGTCATTGACCGGGGTAATAGACACTTCTGCAAAAAAAGAGTTCCCATAACTCCACATTTTTACATCGCTCATACGGAACCTGAAAAGAAGTACTGTACTTATCTGCCGTACCCCAGCCAGCGAGCCAACCAGGCGGATTCAGTCGTAGCCGCTCGTGTCGAAAGAATTATTTCCAGAAAACTTCCTCTGATCTTACCTCGTGCGGGTTTTTTTTTTCGTTTTTCCGTTATAGAAGAGAATACACTAATCCCCAGTCGTACTTTTAACTCAGCATGAGACATGGTTTATGGTCCCAGTTTTCTCATCATCTCACCTGGCGAGTGAGGACGAAGTATGCGTACGCCGCCATGGCGGTGCCGTATGTCACGAAGTACGTCACGGGTTCCATGATATCCCAGGAGTACTCCCACCAAGTCAATCTTGCGAGGATCCCGAATTGGACGGCCATGAACCCGAGTCCCAGCCAAGTCAGAACGGTCGTCTGTCCGCTGGACTTCCTCGCCATATCGAGGTTGCGCTGTGGAAACCCCCACAGAACTTTCGTTCATCCGCCTTCGCTTATTTTTTACATATTTTCTGCATGCATTTTTCCTTGATCCTTCGTGAAAGATCAGGAAAGATTTCCGAAAAGTATCTAGAGTCCCCCGGAAGAGATTACATGCTTACGTTTTCGAAGTGATGACGTTGTAAGAAATCCTGTCAGAACTAACTTTTTCTGCCGTGTTGAATGCGCTTGCGACGGACAGGTCACTTCAATACTACTTCAATTATTTAATCACCAGCTGAACGGAAATTCGAATCGATCGTGCACAAAATTTCAAATCAGTCGATGGAAATGAAGTGGAATATAAAAATTTCCTCTACAGCGCCCCCCCCCCCCCCCCCCCCCCCCCCCCTAGTTGCAGTAAAAGCTTCTTCAAATTGGCTTTGTATTTTGGTTTTAGTGCATATTTAGGCTAAAATAAGAGTGTTTTTCTCTATGGCGATTATAATAAACAGGGTATTTACAAGGATGCTCACCGAACATAAGAAACGCCAATAAATTAACCCGGACTCCTAAATTCAGGTCATGAGGTCATTTGAGAAATATGCAGTTTGAGATTTGATGGGATGCTGGCAATATCTCATATAATCATCACGACAGTTTTTTTCTCTCTTGATTGTCATTTTCAAGCATCCGAGATTTGTTTTATCTGGATAAGTGTACTGATCATTAACCCCGAATATTAAGGTACTAGTAAACGTTACGAGTTTCTGCGTAGCTGCAAAACCAGCAAAATCACTCATCAAATCCTGAAGGTGATATTTTATTCCGAGACAAAATAAAGTTCCAGACGTAGTGCACGAAATCATCGAATTTTCAAAACCGAAGGTACAATTTGAAGAAAATATTCTGCTCTACGTTTGACCGACGCTTTCAAATTCTATTTCATTTCATTTTATTTTTTGAGGGTGATGAACTGGAGTGTAAGACATTGACTGGCAGGTGCTGTTCACTGTCAAGTACGAGCATATTTCTCGAATGACACATGAAGTGTCGCGGGGGGGGGGGAATAAACTGCCACTCAATATTTTGGCAGCAGTTGGAGGAGAGGAGAGAACGAACGCAATCGGAAGCTGTGTCCGTCGCGTGCGCCATTCGTTGGATTCAGCCCGGTGCACATCCTTGTAAATACCCTTCTCTTCCCCGTTTGCAATTATCCGGAGCTTATTGCACTGGAGAAAAACCAATACTTTCCTTCCTTCGTGCTGTATTTGAAAGAGGAACAGCGCAGGATTTATTGTCCATCTGGCACGATAAATGAGAAGCCGGGAAGTGGTTCAAAGGAGCTTGGACGCGAAACGAGACCGCATAACTTTATTCCTTCATGCATTGTGGTGCTAAAAAAGATGCTTTATATGCAGTATCTTTGCATTTAGAAATGTAATAAATCTCGAGAGTTAATCCACAGGAATCTTGAACTGCCTTCAAAACATATTGATCAATTCAAATCCTAGGTAACGAATTCCCAGGGCTGGGGGTTCGAAAACAAAAAAACACGCGCGCGATTTTGGCGAATTTAACAAAGCGCTATTTTATCCTCGGACCAAGACGTAATAAACAAGTTGAAAAATCTGAACAAGCTCAGTACGGTAAATGAATCAATGGATCCCTTCACTGATGTCAGTTGTTCTTCCATCAGCTGCTACCTAGTTTTCCGTTAGTTTGCTTATTGTAAGCACAGTTGAAGTTCAAGCGATGCTTAAATTACTGCTTTAAAGATATAAGAATGTTGCTGAGCAGAACCTCCTCATAATTTCCGAAACGTTTGAGAGGCTCGAAATTGGCCAGTGATAATTAATCAGTTTTCTGAATTTAATTCTTTCATTTTTAACGTGTCATTCATTTCCAAATATTGACAGAGAGAATATTTTTTCGATCAGAAAATTTAAAATTTGTCCGTCAAGTGCAAAAGTTGTAAAAATATTGAGAGCTACGGATGAAACTAAAGAAAAGAATTTTTGTTCGGGTTAAGAAAAAGGGAGTGTTCTTTTGGTACTGTAAAATAAGTTGTGAAGGGTGAAACAAAATTTAGTTTCTATGGAGGTATATTTTCCCGCACAACGACCTAATCGCGTGGATGCCCTGCTGCGGAACGACTTGAGGCTGTTCTACGGATATCCACTATACCCTGCGAAGACTACTTCAGAAATCAATGTTTCCTTGGTTTTTTACGAAATCTCGAACTAGTTTCAAGTGCCTTTTCAGCAGAATATGATTAGCAGGAACGACCATCACGTTGGACGTCATCCACGGCCCTATGCCTACGACCTTATTTCACCGAATTATTGATACAGGTCTCATTTCACGTGGTCAGTTGGTGCATTCTCAAGATATTTCGAGTCATGTTCCTTTCTTGAGAATTCCCAATGACATTGCTCGCGTGCTCGCGTTAGTCCCATGCTTTTTTCATACAGGGCCACCCAATTGGTTGGGGCTGCATGTGCCACGTGCGCAGCTCATTGAGCGTATATTTTCAGCCAACTTTTAAGTGCCGCTGAGTTCCCTAACCCTTCCTGAAATGCTGCTCCTCACAAAATACGGGATTCATAAATGGAGCGGACGTGTTTTTGAATCTTTCAGAAAAATGATACATCTCGTACAGCTCTTTCCCATGGCCGAATAGCGTAAACCTTTCGAATTTACTCTTTTCGAGCGGATGTGAGCCAAAAACAAATCCTCTGGCACTCCACGCTTCCCATTCGTTGCCCACAGTCGGCAGCGATTCTTTACCTCGACGTGGCAGCTCATGTCTCTATTTAAGTAGTGTGTACGATGTTTCTTATGCGTTATTGAATGTGGAAATGTAACTTTCGCGCTAAATGTGCATCATTGCTGCTCCATTGCTTTCAGAGATGAATGAGTCGAGGCAGAATCGTTGGACAATATTTTTTCCTGTTGAAAACTAAGCAAGAGCAAAGATTATGTAGAAATACCACGTGCACCCATGGTACATACATTGTGGGCCAACGCGCTGCGCATTTCCATCTATAGCAGTGCTGAATTTTTCATTCTTATTCTGATCACTTTGCGTTTTTCGATGACTTCTCCTTGTGATGATTGGGAAATGTTAGCTTGCTGAAAATTGACCAATGATAACAAAAGTGATGGCTGGCCATCGTGATTATTCATGAGTTAAACTGATTTTGAGCAATCCGGTCATACCAAACCAATTTGCATGGAGGGGATCATATGCATGAGCCATGAAGCTGGAACCCAGGAATAAAGCTTGCATCCGGATTTGGGGGGTTCACTTTTTTTGTCCCTCTTGTATGTGTACAGCGTTTTTCTATGTTTCAATAAAAAAAAGTAAGTGTGACGGGATTGAGCGTTGTTCATGTGCTGAGGTATCTTGAAGTGATTCTCAACAATCAAGCCAATGATGATGCAGATCTCATCATCATCGTTGTGTCATATTCCAGGACACGGTTGATGTACTCGTGAATAACTCACGGCGAATGTGTAAGTGATGTGTGTCCACAATTTTTGTTGATTTTTACCTGCAAACGAATAAAAAATTGATAAGCGTGATCACAAGAATGTCACCTTTTCTAAGGGTGCAAGATCCCTCTGAATTGTTTCGAGTTTTGCCAGGAGTTGTCGTTCTTTCTGGAGCTGATGCTGATCGATCTGCAAACCTTCGTACAGAGAGGCGATGAGGTTCCGAAGTTGAGAAAGGTTCGTGAGCTCCTCCTAAAAATTTGAGGAATATGCTTTTTTAATTTGAAACGTTTTGTAAAACCAATCACAGTTGTTCGTAATGAAGAGGGCGCACATTGCCCCGTGCCAGACTTGACCCTAACGTTTCAATATGCAAGCATAAAATATACGAAGGAGTCAGGAAGAGGCAACATTGCTTTAATATTTCAGACACGACAGTCGAGGTAAAATGTACTTCATATCGTAGTGTACGGTTATTTTTTGGAACGCTGCCAAGCTTGCAGGAAGCGTTTGCTGCGTGATTCAGAAGTTCCTTCTTTAGCGATTCATGCGTTGCGCCTTGCACACAGTCTGTTCGTCGTTCAGCATGTTTAATTCAAGTCTCAACAATTCATAATTCCCCTTTCTGTTTCACTTTGAAAATCTTTTTGTCTTTCAAACAATGCCGACAACATTTCCGACATTTCTTTTGATCACAAAAAGGAAACGTAAGGAATTCGCTCGAGGGTGCAGACGGGCATCTGGAAGATAACTGCGTCTTGTGCCAGGAGCACAATCAATTACCAAGGAACCAGCCATGAACCAGCTGCAAGCTATCCTTTTCTGATGCTTTCGTTAGCAAGAAGATCCTTCGACGTGATGGAATACAATGATCCCACGGTTTTCATGAAATAAAATAATACTTTTAGGACAGAAACGATGCCTTACGGCTTACAGCAATCTAGGATCTCGGCTGCATATTCCAAACGTTCCGATATCTCGAGGTAAGAGAAACTTGTCAACACAAACGGACAATTGCATTTAATCTGCAATCCTCAACGTTTGTGCATTTTGAGCTTTCCAGTGCCATCTGTGCAGCAGAACATGAATCATGGGAAAGCTAAGAAACCTAGGCGCATATTATTATTAATTATTAACACGTTTTTATTAACCCACTTTCCTACATACATTGGTGATATTGCGTACGTAGTAGATTTTAAGGTTATTTTTTCCTTTTTCAAAACGTGATTTTTTAGATTAATTTTTTAATCTACTAAATTTTTTTGTAATAAACTTGCGAAGTTTTCTTCATTTCAATTGATAAAATAAAAATATCAGGTGAGGATGCGTCATGCAATCAAAGTTGCAATGTTGCAGTTTTTTTTTTTTTTACTATTTTGGGAGCGTCGAGGAAAAGGTTAGAATTTATTTCTTCAACTATACATTAGAAAAAAATAAGCACTTTAAAGTACTGTTCTATGTTATTTTCCTCTTTGTTCAATCTCAGAAATATAATTAGAGACTTTCACTCTGTCAAGCGCTTCATCGAGGTACAGCACTTTCTTCCCATCAACATGTGTGATGCAGATGAAGTTGTCAGTCAAACGGAACGTAACTCTTCGACCTTCCATCAATTTTGCTTTTGATGGTAGTCATCCATTATAAATTGTTTGCTGACCCACGAAAAACGATGGGAAAAGGAGAACATTTTAGAATCGGACACCACAGGTCGAAGGGATAAAGCGTGAACTATAGAGCTCGATAAAGCATGGTACAAAAATGCATTAATAAATTTTCAATTCCTCCTTCAGAGCATTCATAATCACGGGTAACAGTTTGATTAGCTTGGCCTTTTTTCTTTTCCCTGGTGGTGGGATGAAGTCATTCGATGAAAAATATTATTTTTACGAAGCGCGAAAAGAGCTCTAAGATTTTAATGAGCGCTTCCTGTCAAGCAAGCTCGTAGACTTCCTGTCATACTGGGAGGAAAATTGCGAACATATACCGCTGTGAATATTGCTTCAAGAACAGCTGCTAGTGATACTTTCATGAAGAAATATGAACCAGTAACTTCAGGAAATTAATGACACGTACAACTTATTCGAGGTGATTCGCAGAAGGGTAACACATTCTGACCTGAGACAATCGTTCCTTTTCAGGGGTGTGCACCCGATACTTGACATCGTTGATGATCAAATCGAAGTCATGCTCCATTAGAGCCTCCACTGTCGTCTGGGACGAAATGCGGATACCATCTACGGATAAAAAATGAGTTTCTTTTAAGTCTGTGTCCAAAAACCACTGGCCCTCACCTGGAACTGTCAGAAAAAATCCCTTTTCATGAAACAAGTTTGTTGGTAACTTGGTAAGACAATCCATGATATCGGATGTGATGAAACTCAAGGAATGCTAATCAAGCAGGAAATATTTTCGAAGCAGTTTTGGTCGGAAAACGTTCGCTGACTTTACAATCTCTTGGACCACAACCTCAAGGAGACGCCTTCAAAAGTGCATTCCAAAATGATCGCGATGAAATGCAAGCGACATTTTCATCATGAAAGTTACTACACATTCAAAAAGTTTTCCTCGGTAATTTGGAATCATGTTCTTTCAATTCGTCGTCTTATTTCCAACCAAACGTACGAATATAACAATGGAAAAAATAGGTCAGGATCAGGATGAAATGGTTAAAAATCATTTCGTGAAAATTACTGTACAGTTAATCTATTTATCGAATGAGACTGATAAATCTTATGAATAAACCCAGCTTATCAAGCCAATCTCATAAATAGTCCGACCTGCGATGGAATCGAAATTAATCATGACCCAAATGCATTCGAGTAAACGAACTGAGAATTTTACGCAATTTCAGGAACGCTTAAAGCTGGAAGCACGCATTTGTTTTGGACATCAAGCATTCACCCTACACCGACTTGGAGGCACTCAAAGAAAATGTATTCCGAACAATACGATATGCGTTGAAAATTTAAATATCCGTACGCATGAGAACCTATGGAAAATGTTGGGCAAATTCACCGGCATAAAATTTCCTTCGATTACAGTCGGCCATTCGCCTAGTATTTAGGTTGATAACTCCATGCATAATGAATCCGGTTTTTTAATGCATTACAGTATCACGATTTCGTTCGTAACTTTTTTTCGGCGGTTTTCACTCAATACTAACTTGAGCCATGTCTTCAAGTCTGGTTTACGACAAAGGCGTCAAGTTTCAGGACATATTGTTCCATCTTTTCCTGGTATATCTACTACGTACGCAATATCACCAATGTATGTAGGAAAGTTGGATATTCAGTGTCTTGCAGGGTTGATTTTGTGCATCGAGATTTATTCAAAATATAGGCCTTCGCAAACAACAACAACAAACTCGAGTATTGGAAAAATTGAGATCAGAACCGGAACTTTTTCGGGGGTGACGAAAATCGACTCCATGGACCTCACCCACGGAATAAATTGCTGCCCGGTCGATTCCCTTATCTTCCACCGAAAGCATGTGGAGGAAATCTCCGACGGTGTTCGAAACGGGCAGAAGGGTGAACTGGCATTTTTCCGCCCGTGACGGCAAAGGGGCCGTGACAACCGGCAATCCTCTGCTGTACAGCACCGTCACCTCTGCAAATAAAAGTATAAAGAAAAAACTCAGATTTACACAAGGGTAGACTTATCCATGTGAAACTCTGCAGCTCGTACCATAATGTCACACGTACCTAGTAAACCTGAAGCATATCACTGGGAACGATGATTATCTCTGCGCGTTTGCAGGAAACATACTTGGTATGTTTCCTGCAGAAAATTCGTTGCACAGTGCAGATAATTTTGTTCTAGAGAACCCCTAAAACATGGGAAGAGAACCCAGTGGGACCAAACAATTTGTTATACAGCACAGTGAATCGTTATAGACAAGATCAATGTAGAGAGAGTCCACTTGTACTCAGCATAATTTGACTTGTGGTGCTTGATTTATTCTTGCAAAAAGGGCGGGAGTTTTTTTGAAGTCATCAAAAAATAATGTCTGTATGCTTATCAATCTGAAGTCATGCCAAATTTTGTTTTTCATAATGGCATGCTAGATGAAGCATTTTTGTATAACTTCGGTCGCTCGTATCTGTGTTGTGGAATGCTTGGCTATGACATTGTGCAATCTATAACTCATACAGAGCTTTGGATCTCATTTAGCAGAGCTTTCTTGGAACACGCAGCAATTTTACAACCCCTACATGGAGTGGTCTTCTATTCATGAAAAAAGTTATTTTTTCCTGTCGATTTGATCATATTTTCAAAATACAGCACAGTACAAAAATGCCGTTCTTTTTTCAGAAAAAAGTTGATAAATTCCCGGAATTGTGTCAGCCTGATTAACCGCCTTCAATTGTATCTCCAATCTATGCAATTATTCTCTGAAATTATGGATAGAATCCATCTGCGATAGGTTCAGAAAGGAATAAGATTTGCTGATTTATTACAAGCCGGTCTCCTTTCCCCCGCAGTAGGTTCATTTTCCGGCTAGATCCAGCGTATGAATCGAAGCCTTACTTCCGGCCCAGTCTGGCTGTGCTCCTAGCTCTTATACCAAGTGGAACCCTATCAAAAATCCGGAAGAACGGGAATCTAGAAAGATTCCAGGCACAAAGACGCAGGAAACTAATAATCTTTCCCATTCATTCGACCTTTTTCCGTGAGCTTTGTTAAGTCTCAACTGCATATTGTAGTTCAGACAATACGAGGTAAAGGTAATACTGTATAGGCAGAACAATTGCATACCGAAAAAAGAGCAGCAGAATGCCTAGCAAGAATGACATTTTTGGAGAGTGCCCAAAAATGCACTTAAGAGTCACTCACTCAGTCACTCTTAAGTCACAACGATTACCTTTTTGAAGTGATACACTCATAAGGTATAGGGATCCATATTGAGTCCTAAAATGTATATTTCATTAGCCGATATCAAGGTTTGTAATTGACTACTTATTGGAAAGGCAGAAGTAAGTTGTCATTCTAAGAATTTACAAATACCATATGGAGGAATTTTCACCCTTCCTGTTTTGAGTCATGTGTGGATTGACAGTAGGTCCAATTTTTGGAAGTTGTCCTGAAATTTCAGGAGAGTTGCCAGCAAATATTAGTCTCTTGAAATTTCGAACTCGTTTTTCAAAATGGGGTACATGTATTTTACTTGAGTATGGGTGACATCGTTGGGATTTCTTGAATTAGCATAGTATTTTATTATTTCTTTCATTTTTGTGAGTCAAGTTGAGACAATTTATTTTCTTATAAGCAGCCACGCCATCGACCTTTTACACTCTGCAAGGTTTCACCTGAGATATTGAGTGCTCCTACTTTTTGCAAATTCTCACTTTTTGTCTCCCTCTTATATGATTGTTCTTACTTCCGGCTGTGACAATAAAATTCATTTCTGGGTTGAGCTTGCATCGTCCGCGTATTTGTTCAATGTAAGTCAGAGTGCATTACATTTCATACGAATTCAAAATTCACACATTCCGCGCTATGGATGAAATTCTGCACTTCCCAGAGAATCATACAGTGGTTAAAATGTCAGCTCTCCTCTCTGGAGTAATGCTACGCCGGATCATGGAAAAACGCATTTGTAACATTGTATGAGGGGGAAATTTAAATGGACCCTCATTATGACTAGCACTTTAGTATTTTGGGTTAGAGATATTCAAAAATGCCCCGAGTACTGAACCAATGTGCAGAGGGGAAATGCAGGAAGAGGCTTGGCAGTTTTTCCCTCAGAGAAAAATGTTTTCTCTTTTTTCCTCCTCTAAACAGATGTTGAATTACCACATCTGTAAACGTCATGGCCCATTTTCTCAACAAAGAAGGCGCGGTACTTCTCGTATACACATTGAAAAAAGCTGGTCGGGGTTTTCCAAAAATTACTCAAGTTCTCCGGAATGCCACTGGAATTCTGTTAGAAGTATTAGACGGAGAATAGCCACGTTATACTGAGAAATGGAGAATTTTTAGATGCGCGTCAATTATCCTCTCACGAAAAATTTCCCAAGCTCTCGGTCCAAAAGAGGTCTTATGATTATATATAAGGGCTTTTGGCTTCGGGCCTCCGAACAGAAGCACGTGACTTTCGGGCTCCAAAATATTTGTTTCATGACCTTCATCTCAAATGTCGGACGTGGTATTGATCGCGTATTTGTCGGGTTCCAAATTTATAAACTTTAAATTTCAATCAACGCTTCCGTGGCATCCGCAGAGCACTCTCATCATGTGGAAAGTGTAGAACAGAGCCTCTCTTACATATGTATAGAGCTCCGCAGAGCACAGGTTGAGGCAAAACACGGGATTCTGCACAGATAATGGCGGTAGATTGTACGCTGCGAGTCATACCAGCGAAACTCTAATTCTTCCTCCCCTCGTGTTATTAACCAGCTTAAGAGGACGAAAGATATTTCCGGCTCTGGATGTCGAGACGGAGCCTGACATGCATTAGCTGGCTCAGTGCGCTTGGTCCCGCGAGAAATGCAGCTCAGCGCCGACACTTCGGCGACAACACTTCCTCCGAGATCTTTCTTTGAGTCCGTTCTTCTGTCTCGTAAATTCTGGTGGGAATCGCAATGGCGGAAGGAAATAAAATACGCGTGCTTGTGAGACTCAGTTGAGAACGTTGAGAAGCATAACAAGAGAACGGGGTTGTGGAAATGCCGTTGTTTTGCCCGACGAAGGAAATTTCCCGTAACCTGATTTCGAAGCATGGAACAAAATACGGCGAATAACTACGAAATCTTGAAGTGCTGACGAAACTTTCTTATTTGCATAAACTGGAAGCTTGCCTGAAAGTGAAATTGATGGTGTACTGCTATTGCATCAGGAAACCATGGCATGTTTCCAACTCGAAAATGACCCTGAAATTAAAAGTGTGAAGGACTGAAAGTGCTCTTCCGTTTCTCAAAATTCATGCTGGCGAAAATCACTTTTATGGTACGGTGGCCATGTGGCTCTTGTACCATTTTGGAGTAGAGACCTGTCTTGTGCAGGTCATCTTCAAAATATTTCCATACTGGGTTTGATTGGAATCAGCGGAAACCATGCACAGATTTCCAACATTTCCCGTTCATCATAAGAAAGATCAACTGATGGTTATTAGTTAACATGCGGAATTTGTTTTCCATTAATCTCGCAATTTTTGCATTCGATAAGAGCAAAACCCTTCGTATCTATAGGAAACTGGAAGCAAAAGTAGATGCAAACATTATACCTAGTTTTAATTTGGGAAAGTACGACGTTTGTCTGAAACGGGCTTTCCCGAATATATGTTGAAAGCTCGAAGTGTACCCAATCGGATTTCGATCAGAAAAAATCCGAGACATATATCTTACGCATGTATTTTTAGTTAGATGTTCCTCATGAAGGACTTCGCTCAAAATCGCCAAGTTCTCGTCAAGTGAGAACGGGAATAGAAGAAAAGGCTGAACTCAGAATGAAAGCTCAACAAAAACCTCCTCTTGGGATGTTCTACATAGCTGATAAGCTGACAGTATCCATCAGGATCTCCCAAAACAATAGTAACGAATCACCGAGAAGCCTGTGCTCAGCCACAGATTTCTCTGACATGGTCTGCCGATGATTGCCAGAAAGGATTAAAAGCAAAAAAGGAAATACTTTTAAAAATTGAAGCATCAGTATTCCCTTTCCACTCTTTCGTCCAAAAAGTACATACGGTACGGTGCATATATTTCATAAACTGTTCGATATTTAGCGTTGCTGAACGTCACTTCAATCGCAGCATAAACCTTAAATTTCGATGAGAGGATGAATGATGAATATCAGAGTTTATTTACCGTAACCAAAAAAATTTGAATATTTTGATAATACCCCTGGCACAACCTGCAAATCAATTGATTTCTAGGTCATTCCGCGAACGTTTAACCAATATATAAATGCAGTCAAATCAGTTTGTGTTTCATCATTGCCTTGTTTTTATCTTCACATTCTAATCATATGGTGGTAAATTCCCTTTTTTACCTGATGAGTCATGATTTCGCACAATAGGCCTGGGAACCTTCATATATGACTAGTACTGTATAGCCAAAATGGAACTCCATGACTGTTTGAACTGTGACAAATGAGACATTAATTCTTTATCACTTAATTGTCGTAGCTGCTGAACATTGTTGTTCATATCACGACAGGTGCAATTCAATTTTTCAGCATGTTTACCTACAATGTCAGTGAAATTATGAATCCTGTTGATCATAGAATACAGAAATAATATTTTATTTTACAGATCAATATTTTTCACATTGAGTATTATATGCGTTCATAAGTTTGTGCATTATACTTCGAGTATGCTGCCTTCGTTTCAGTTTATTATTTCTGTTCGTTGCAGAAATTCAGAAATCCAAGCTTTGGATTCAATAGGTTCCCAACTACTGTATACATGTCCTCATGCTGAGAAGTATTTCCGCAAATACAGTACTTGATGAGCCAGGACACATGGACCATGCAGACAATTTAACCCTTTAAACTCGAGAAATCTGCGTTGGAGGACGATAACCCAAGATATGGACAAGGAGCACTTCGCCAAAATTTTCTGGAAATGATGCAATTTTATATTTTTTTTATGTCGACGTCTCTTGAAAAAATTCATATACAGTACAGTACTACCATGGGCATACGGTCGAAATAGTTCATTATAAATTCACTTCAATTCATTTTCCAAATATACTGTACGAATTTTTTTTCATTTTTCGTTTATTTTCAGGGGTTTTCTCGTAAAGTGAGCAAATATATGCACTTCGCGTGCTTGTCATTATTGTTTTTTTTACTCCTTTTCACGCCCTCAAGTCAGGTTCTTTGAGGTTTCCTTCTGCACAGTTATTTTCTGGATCTTAAAGACAAGAGAAAGTTTGCTTTATTTTTAGAGGTATTCTTCCCATATTTTCGCCAAGCTTAAGAATAAGGGAGCGAATGCGTTTTCATTGGAGTCCATTCAAAAATGTGATCCGACATTCTGATGTTTTGAAATACAGTACTGTACTGTATCGACTCAATTTAAAAAGTAATTATGCCTGCATGCATCTTGGTGCCCCACAATACTCAAATTGGATAACCTGTACTGATGCACAGTTCAACGCCTGATTGATCACTCTAGATGCTGTGGAAATTCAGCCCTCGGGGGTCTGTATGCAGAAGACCTCCGGCAGTTTTCTTCCATAACGAGGAGCGAATCGAAGCCTCGTCACGTCAACAACGGTCGCAGTCAACTCGCTCCAAGTACAGACGAATCTGGAGCAGCGCGCTGAAGGGCCATGGAAGATTGAATGGGTCAAGCGGGGCATACGGATCGATGCCCCCGCAAACAAACAAAAAATATATATCCCAAAAAGAAAATGCCCGCTCGGGAACGCGTTCCTCGGAGGATGCCAAGGCAAAGATGCTTTTCGCTCTCGCCCAGCAGTCTTGTTTCCGCGTGACCAGCAATTGGGTGTTCGGGGGGAAAACATATCGGGTCTCTTTTGTTGTCTTAACCTGCATTTATAACGGATGCACAGCTTCTGTTTCCCGCCGCATCTTCTTTCGGTTCACAGAAGCGAATGCTTTTCAGCTGACTTGGTCGGCGTTTATTACGGGGAATCGAATCGCCGCTTCGCATGTGATCCCGAGAACGGATTGACATGCGACCCATTCCGTCGACTGCTGCGTCTCGCGGTGTTCGACCCTACTACAGTCATTGATGGAACGGCGTCTGGTCCGAATTTGTGCAAATCTGTTTTCCGCTTCGTTTGAACCTACGCGGGATAGCAGTACTGGTCTTTTTGCCGAAATTGTATTGATATCGAACGACCCGAGCCAGTTCAACACTGAATCTAATTTCTTGGCAAGTTCGACAGGCTTGGAAATGACTTATTCTCTTTTATCAGAGTTCCGTTGCGATTGTAACATTATTTGTTATTTTGCTGTCTTTTTCATGACTGGTATGGTTGTTTAAATGGGTAAAATACCAGCTCAAAATTTGTTACATACTCTTTCTTTTCAAGATACAGTATAATCTTGCATACACAAATTAATAATTATTTTAGCTGCTTATATACAGCCATGAATTCGCTGAAATTGAATTCGGTCATCTCGGATTTGCCCCATAAATAAATAAAAACGTTTATTGAAACAGATTTAATCCGAATCGCTGCCGTCGCGAAACTTTTTTATTTTCCAAAAATGCAACACAATCAGAAGGACGAACAAATCTTTCTTCTTTGTGAAACGAATCAATCAAAGTTTATTCGTAGTACCCATTTGTTTGAACGGTGGAACCCTTACCGAAAACCACTCCTGATCTTTTCCGATAAAATATCCACGTGTTTGACGTTGATTGACTATCCCCCTGGCAGAGGTGACGACGTAATGTCTTCATCGATAACGTCAATGACGAAGTTAACATGCTCTTCAGAAATATGCCTCTGGAATAGGTCACATACGAGGGTCTTGACAAAAGTTCATGCAATAATTCAAAAGATGTCATACAATTGAGCTGAAAAAAATGTATTCTTTATGAAAAACATATTCTTTGTTTGTTCTTTGGCCAAAAATTTAATGTTTTGCAAAATTCACCCTAGCAGAGTTTTGCTCTCCACTCAAAAGATGAGGCGCCCTTCCTAAAGATTTTTGTTGTTATAGCCCAGTTTTCCCCTCAGAATTTTTGAAATGAATGTGGCATTCTTTCTAAGGGTTGCCTCCAGATCTTCCAAGACAATTCCGCCATTTTCATCAACATCCGCCTTCACAGCCACCACATTGGCCGCCACTTTGGCGGCTGTGAAGGCGGCTGTTGATGAAAATGGCGGATGGCCCACC